TGAAGAGGTGAAGAGATGATGAACCGGAGCCTATTCTTTGATTTCGAGCTTCAAAATTCTGTCTGGCACCAATCGATCTACAGCCCCTGCGTTAGAGATGGAAGATCAGAAAAAACTGTGTGCTGGAGCCTCTGAAAGACACGGAAGTTCTCTCGATGGGGCTGAGAGAAATGTGTTTGTTCTCTGCAATCGATTCTTCTTTGGCTGGGAGAAATGATCGTGCCCGATCCGTTTGTGACGCAGAAGGGGGCGACAGATCCCGTAGAGTGAGGGCGGCGAACGTGGAAGTTGCAAATTATACAGCACCCGTATCCTAAAAAAGGGCAAATTACAGAGGTGTGAAAAGTTTTGGTTTGGTCCAAAACTTGCGAAAAGTCGAAAACCTTTGCCCACGTCAAATAGATAAATGAACTAATTTAAAGTGTTCAATTGGTCCCTTATACAGGAGACTCTGCCCGGCCCTCGCCAATTGGGGCGATTCCCGGTGGAATTTTTTGATGAAATTTTTTGAGCATATTCTTCTTTAAGTCTAGTTTACTCATATCTAATTTCAGCTAAAAATTCAACCTAGAAGGCAGTCAAATGATTTTCCGAAATGTATTGCGCTGTTTAACTGCGCAATTATCTTCAAAAAATCATTTGACTGCCTTCTCGATTGAATTTTTAGCTGAAATTTGTTATGGGTAAATTAGACTTAATGAAGAAGATGCTTAAAAATTTTCATCAAAAAATTCCACCGGGAACCGCCCCAATTGGCGACGGCCGGGTAGAAGCTCCTATATAAGGGGCTAATTGAACATTTTAAGTTAGTTCATTTACCTATTTGACCCTTTAGCCAAAACCTCTTGATAACAATACGTAACTATGTGCATAGTCGAATATGTCACAGCCCAATCAGCAATAATTTTGCTGAGGTGGCACACATGTAGAAGTTTAGTCATCCATTTATGGATCGTCATGTGTGTGCCACCTCAGCAAGTGACCTGCTGACATGGAAAGTAATCCGTAAATGTATCTAATTGAACGTTTTTACAAAGTTCGGAGATTTGCTTGATTTTTTAAAAGTATGAGGATCTGATTAACTTTTTCATGAAAGTATGAAGACCAATTTGACAATTTTCCCTAATATTTTAAAAAAAATTAGAATATTTTTGTTGGTCATGACTCTTCATCTTTATGATATATGATATAAATAAATAATTTGGATATGAAAAATACATATTTAACATATATCATTTTCACTACTCCGTATTATACATTTCATACACTCGTTATGACAAAATTAGCTAATTAGACACATGTATGTGTTAAATTTTGCACTCTACTTCTACGAAAAGATGCTTGGTGATAACAATACCAAATTACATTTATATTAATTTCAGTTAAATGATAGTACACTATACATTTTATATGATCCATTTACATAAAATTGTGAATTTTACAACATTTATAAATGAGTTTACTCACTTAATTAAGTTTGAATATTTTATGTGATATTACAAATGCTTAATGACTAGAAACTTATTTCTAGTAAAAGGTGAATTTTTTCTAGTGACTGAAAAGATGCTAGCTGTTTTCATGTTATAGTCTTAGTAAGACAAATCACATGCTAATTTATACATTAAAATATTCTATTACAGATTTACAGAGTATTTCTTTTTCTATAGTTTATTTTCCTTTACATTTAGTTAAATAATACTAGAGATATTACACAAAATAGGATTAAAAAAGTTTGAAAATTCCAAAATAGGACTTCCGTATTTTTATCTCCAAAATAGAACTAATTACTGTCATGTTTTGGCAGTAGCAGACTTCAAACATGTCAGTATTTTCTAAATTTGGTAATTATTAGTCCTATTTTGGGAATAAAAACATAACAGTCCTATTTTGGAATTTTCAAACTTTTTTAATCCTATTTCAGGAACTTTCCCATAATACTACCTCCGTCCCATTTATATTGGGACGGAAGAGGGTGGCACGGTTATTAAGAAAAGTGGGTTTGTGTGGTTGATATTCATTGATAAAGTAAGAATGATTTAGAGCCACACAAACTTTGCCAAATATGGTATGGGACAATTTAAGTGGGACTTCCCGAAAAGGTAAAACGGGACAATATAAATGGGACGAAGGGAGTACTTCATAAATACAAGAAGATGGGATGAACTACTATTTTTCATTTTCTAATTCTAGACAATAGAAATTGATCAAATACAATAATAAGCATATGAAATCGAATCAAATCAAACTACATTGAACCTAATAATTTTCACTTTGATAAACCAAACTTGAAACCAAACCGAAGTGAAACCAAATCGAAATACAAATGGTTGTAATTTGGTACAGAATCTCTCAAACTGAATAAACCGAAATTGAACCAAAATTGATGAAAAGTGTAAGCCGAATTGCACACCCCTAATTGGATGTATATTCGAGTACTTTTGTATGTTTTTTAACTTGATTGGGTAAAATCAAATCATTAGTTCATCTCTTTTATTATTTTCTTTAAATCGTCTTCTTCCCTGCATGCATCTGCTCTCTTTCTTCTATGACTTCATCTCTTTTTATTACTCCCTCCGTCCCTCTATTAAGTTCCTACTTTGACCTATACACATATTTAGGAAATAAATTTGACTTTACTGTTTAGACACTGTTTGACACTGTTTAGACATTATTTGGCACTATTTGACACTGTTTTGATGTAGGATAACTTTCCATTTAGGGAAATGAGAAGATTATTTTGGAACGGCTCAAAAAGGAAAGTAGGAAGTTAATAGCGGGACGGAGGGAGTATTATTTATAAAAAACTACTAGTATTTTTCATTTTGATATGGGCAAAAGCCAGAGAACTTCTCAGCCGGGTGGTGATCCAAGCCGAAGAAGGGCCATGTGGCTGAGAAGGAAGAATTGATGACGGCTGGGTTAGATCAGTGGCGGTGGGAATCATACTCGGCATCATTCAGAAAGTGAATATTGCACATTTTGCTCTTGTTCCGGTTCCAATCCAATATTAGAGCTCAAGGATGATCGATTGATGAATAAAAGAAATAAAGGAAAAGTTAAAAAGGAAGAGGAATCCAAGGCTTGAAAATTTAACTAAGATGAAATTTGCTAGCAGACGTAGCAGTGAAATCTGTCAAGAAAGTCCATTGGGATGTAGGCATAACTTTTTATCTTTTCTTACCAGCTCAGCAAATTGATCACACAATCTCAATGTTCAATAGTAGAGAACATGATACTCAATATAGATGCTTTGATGCTCAATGAAGATGTTTGATTACATGGTCTCAATGTCAATAATAAAGAATTTGATACTCAATGAATATGTTTTTTTTGTTCGATGCAGAGCTCTAATGTTCAATGAAGATGTTTGAACATATTGTTTCAATGTTCAATAATAGAGAACATGATACTCGAAGAAAATGCTTCGGTGCTCAAAAGATTTTGAAAATTTTATGTCCAATTGCAAAGTTTTAACACTTAATAGAGAAGGCTTAGCTTAATGCTCAACTAACACATCTTGGATTTTCATTTCATGCATATTTCAAAAGTATAATATTAAATTTTTTCGCGCAATGAAATTCACAGGAATTGATTATGGATACGTAGTATAATTTAATAAATTTCTATAAAATAAAAAATAAGGAAAAAATTGAATTAGAAAATATGAAGCAGACATTTAGCCTATAATGCTCATATTAATCAAAATACAATAATTAAATGAAATGAAATTACAAAGAAAATGTTACCTAAACATCAATGGTGGTAAGAAGTGAGCATCCACGCCTCAAGAAACCGTAAAAGAGAAAGAAAATTATAAATAACTATAAACTAATCTGAGGATTAAACTATGGATTGAATTGTGATTACGGGAAAGTGGTGTCTATATAAGTCAGATTGACATCTTTTAGTCTATTCGCGATTACATATTGGATCAAATGAAATTCTTTAGCATGTTCTGGTATTTATTCATAGCCGTTGTGACCTATGACTTGTGCCGATTTGCTGTTTAGGGATTTTGCATTGGAGAAAAAGTATGAACATTACGCCAGATAAGTCGGCCGCATACTACGTGTATTCTACCTAATATATCTTTTTAGGTTACTAATTTGGACATGACTCTTTTAGCAAAGTTGTAGCTAAGAAGTCTTATATCCACCAAAACTTGAATCACTTTATTTGAATCATACAAATCAAAAGATATGAGAAGTATACATCGTAAAACACCAGCAACATCTGACTTTATCTGTTGGTTAAGTGTTGATATTTTCATACACTGGCTATATTATCTTCACAACATTTGTAACTTGTTGAGTTATAGTTCTAAATAAATTTGAATGGCGTCATTTGGAGTTCTCTACAAAATGAGAGCTCGAATGTTAACAACATTCTAACAAGACTTAAGGTATTTTAAACTATGTAATTATTCAAATAAATTTGCATTTGTACAATAATGGCACGAATATAATTTTTTTATATAGAGTTCAGAATATGTGTGTGTATTAAAATTATTACATATGCAAGTTGGGACACTTATCTCACACTCTCATTAAAGGTTGAAGTATTTAAACTAATTTTCCTTTAAAAATAAGGGTAGTTTTACGGGGGGTCTCTCCAATATGGATTCCGGATGATTTTAATGGAGTTTAGAATTCTATCAGAACTCAAGAGTCTTCGATTTGGATTTCTGTGAAATCCATGAAAATAAGAGTGTTCTAAAACATTCCATTGGTTTCTATTGTTACTTATTTTAATGGATTTTGATGGACTTCTACATACAAAAACATTCCACCACCAATCTTCTATCCATGATTTTTTTAAAAACCATCCGAGTCCTAGTTGGGGACACCCCTTAATATTTCATATTGAAAAGTTACTTTTATGAAAATGTTAAATTTATTTTGGAACATCCAAATAAGGAGAGTAGGAAATTGTTACTGAGGTAGTACATTTTATCGGACCCCATATTATTGATGAGATTAGATTCTGCATAATGTTGTTCTAAAAGTAAATATGTGCACCCATCTTATTGAAAAATTAAATGGTTGGACTTTTTTATATCTTGTGGGTTTAATCTAATGTTCAACTTCCTGCTGTGCACAGAAAGGGTGGAAATCTAGGTATGACAAGAGTAGTAATCAGGGGGGAATTAATACAACAAAATTGGCGCATTATTATTACTATTCCGAAACGAAAACTAATAGGTGGAAAGCCATCAGCAACTTAGCTCACACTGTTATCATTTTGGTGGAGTCTGAATCATCCCATCTGCTGCTGCAGCAGCTGCAGATGCTGCATCATTGTAACCCAACTTCTGTAGCTCTTCCACGAAACCATCCATTTCAGTGGGGCTGATTTTATATGGACTATAAGCAGCACCAGGAAAGGAGCCACTAGTCACTTCTTCCTTGTATGCTAGAAGTGCTCTGTTGATTTCATCTCCAACATGCCCGAATTGTTTACAGAACTTTGGAGTAACCTTCAAAATGAGTAAGTAGCACTTGCCATTCACAACTTTGCAGCCTCAAATTCCTAAGAATGAAAACCAATTTCATCATAAATAAAATAGCTGATTGTACATACTGACCTTGGCGTGGTGTGGATGTTGCATCATCCCAAGTAAATCATGATAAACTAGCACCTGCATTGCAATTGTTGTTACAGTTGTAATAACAATATCTTTCAGAAAACATTCTATCGTAGCAATCCCCATTCAAAACGAAGATTAAGCGTATTCATTATTCAGATTACTGCCAATGTGAGAAAAAATAGAGTGAAGCATCACCAACCTGACCACTGCAAAAGGGGCCAGCCCCAATGCCAATAGTGGGAATCTTAAGAACAGAAGTTGCTGCTGCTGCCACTTGTGGTGGCACACATTCCATGACAACAGAAAAACACCCTGCCTCCTGGAAAGCTAATGCAGTTTCTAAAACCTGCAAAAATTAATGTACAATATATATTAAAAAAGAAATATCAAATTGGTTGTTCAATGGTTACTATAAACGGCCATATCCAAGTAGTAAACTTCGTACCTTGACTGCACTAGAAACATTTCTACCTTGGGGCCTAAATCCTCCAAGAACACTAATGGCCTGAGGGGTAAGTCCAACATGCCCCATAACAGCAATTCCTGAGTCGACAATCGCTTTAGCGGCTGTAATTCTGGAAGGTGCACCGGCTTCCAACTTAATAGCATCCATAGCTCCTTCCTTTAAAACTCTTACTGCTGCTTCGACAGCCTGTTTATGATTCAACAACACTACACTAGTCCACCAATTTCACTTTTTGTCAAACTAAATGTTACATCAAATATGATGAGTTAAGAAGAAGACTACATTCGCCTAATAGTAGATGGTCTTTTCTTTTCTGAACCGTAGCTGAAATGCTCAGATGCCCCACTTAAGTAGTACTGCCTCCATCCCACCGTCTTTGGGAAATCATGAAGTCATACGCATAATAAAGAAAGTAGAATTAAATGGTTGATATTGAGTTTGTAAAGTATAAGTGAATTTGAACCACACAAATATTATCAAATATGTAATGAGACAAACTGAGTAAACAGACAAAAAGGAGAGATGAAGATAGTGGGATGGAAGTAGTAGATTAAAATTTAATGTGAAGGCCAAAGAATGCAAAAAATAATCAAATGTCTTAATTAAAATTATACTATGAAAAAGTAAAAGCATCTAAAAAATACCTGCCCAGTGCTGGCCTCATAGCTACCAAAAGGGAGATCACAAACAAGAAAAGGGTGTTTAGCCCCTCTAGCGACGGCTCGACAATGCACAAGCATCTCATCAAGGGTAATTGGAAGGGTGGTGTCGTGTCCGTGGACCACCATCGCGGCAGAGTCACCAACTAGACATATATCAATTCCAGCCATGTCAAGATGCACAGCAGAAGGGTAATCGTAAGCAGTGACCATGGTTATGGGTTCCCCCTTGTGGTGCTTCTGTCGGAGAGTGGTGAGTGTTGTTCTCTTGTTATGGTCCTGCGGCTTGGGACCACCATACACCGCATTCTCTGGCAAGTTGCTCATGCATCTTGGGGCAGTTGTTGTTCTTGGACGGCTGATCACAGATTGTCTTATGAAGCTTCTTGATATTGAAGTTAGAGATGCCATCCAAATTCGGTGTATCTTTCAGAATCCTATTAAAAGAAGATAAAATGGATGCTATCTTATACTGAAAAGTTAATTGGTCCAAATTTCCTCTATAGGCCACAAAGATAGTCCCATGATTCAGAACCTGTTCATTTGAACTGGAATTTTTATAAAATCTAAGTCTGCTTTGGTTTATTTAAGTCTAGCCTGGTTAGTTTCTATTTGATATTATGTTTACTCTATTTAATGATGGTCTACTTTGGTCTATTTAAGTCTGTTCTAGTATGTTAAGTCTAGCAACTAAGTTCTCTGAATTCGAAATTACTTTAAAATTAAAATTTAAAAATCATATTATTTGATGCAAGAATTCTATACCTGTACTTTTGTCAATGGGAAAATACTAGTTGGAGTTAAAAAGTAAGAAATAGTGTGTAAACAAAGTACAATAAATTATTGCACCAGTTGATTGATCCTAGTGCTCGTTTTTATTAAGTGATCTAAAATTTCAACATTACTAATAGTCATATATACATCTCTCGAACGAGACAATCAGATCCCTATCTTTTTCTTCCATTCATCAAATGTTCTAAATAATTTTCACACTTAACTTTCAGTAACAAAAAGCACCAGTTGAATTTCGAGTGTTGCTTTATTATGTACGAAGTATCAAACACTAATAGAATGCTGATTCTCCAAACGAAAGGTCCAGATGCCTAATTCTTCAAGTTCAAATGCATATTAAAGTGGGCAATCCTAGAAAGATTACAAACCATCACAAATAAAACATAACAAGAATACACAAAATAGCATACAGGACTAAGAAGAGGCTAGCTTTCCTTGAAGGGAAATCTAAAGATTGAGAAAGAAAAGATTCAGATCGATGCACATTGCATAATGACTCAGCAATGCAACATCCCCATTCAGTTAATTGTAAGATTTGCAGAAATAGGTTAAACAATATGGCATTTTAATAAACATTCATGAATATTTCAGATGAGGGTTAAAAAAATCCTATTGGGGGGGAGGGGTAACGGACTAAATGGGTAAGTGATTAAATATGCTGAAAGCAGGGCCGGTCCTAGGGGGGTGCAACAGGGGCGACCGCCCTAGGCCCAAAAGAATAGGATGGAAAAATAGGCCCAACAATTTGTCTTCATATACAGCGGGAGTAGGCTTCTTTTTTGTATTTGAGCTCAAGTAATTAGGCCTAATGTTTAATTTTGTTGAAAAATTAAAAATTTTAAAACAAATGTTAAAAGGCATGCGGCACGCCTCTTTGAGTAGTTAAAGTCTCTTCACATCTCTATGCTTCATAATTCTTTTAATTACAAAATTACCACAATATTTATTGTCTTTAACTCTTTGTATAGCCCGTGTGTCTCCCAAACTCTCAATTCATAAACCACCCCATCTCACTAACCTAATTACTTCTTTGGACGGTGGTTTCCAAGTTCCAATTACACTCAATTATCTAAGGAAGTAATGGACTAAGGTTTAATAAGGTATTGACCGTCTCGCACAAGAGTAGACATTAGAGAGCGCCGCAAGCCTGCAAATTGCCATTAGCCAAAGCGGTCAGCGGCGAGGAGCTCAAACAGCGGCCGGCGACTAGACTACCTTCTTCTATCAAGGCTTCAAACAATCCGACAACGGCTAGTAAATTATTCTCAATCTATTAGCTATGAAAAATAAATACACCAAATGTTCTTTTGATTTATGAATTATGCATGATTAATGATTTATATGATGCATTTTTTAGTGTCTTCGTAAATTCATATTTGTGTGGTATTGTGCAATTTTGAAATTGAAGTCCTTTATTTCGTTTTACTATTGTGAAGGTGGTTGATAAAATGGATGTATCTGGTTAGGAAAAAGAGAAAAAGATTAGAAAAGACAGCCGCTAAAGTCTTTTGCGAATGAAAATCATAACATGCCCAAAAAATTATTCTCAAATTTAATCGCAGCTAAAGTCTTGGAAATAATGATATAGGTGTAGAAGCCGCAAAAATTGAAATTGAGCAAGATAAATGTGATTTAGGTGAAAAGAATAAACCAATAGTGGGTCATGTTTCGTTTATAGATATTTAGAGATTACTTTTTTGTCTTGAACCAACATAATATATCGCCCATAGGCCCCAAAATCGAAGGACCGGCCTTGGCTGAAAGTCTAGCGGAGGGTAACGAGTGCCTACCTCTATTCGTCGGCTGGGATCCCAAAGAGAAGGCGAAGAGAGACGACTCAGTCGGCTTGGGCTGGAACGAGGTCGCGAGAGCTGAGGAGCCGAGGTTCCAAGGAGCGCCAGGAGATGCTGCGATGGCGTCCAGTCGCGATACAGCAACGAGCAGAGCCAGAGGAGCGAGCAGCGCTGCAGCAAGGTGCTGTCCTGTGTTTATGAGTGTTACAGAGGAGTGAAAACAACGAGGACTGAGACTGCCGTCTACCGGCAACCCAGATCAAGTGATAAACCCAAATGTCCACTTCACTCCAAATTCGGTTCTGGTTAAAAATCATGCAATCCTGAGTATATAAAACACAATTTGTCTTAAATAAAAACGTTTTAAAATTTCAAAATAAAACTATGTTTTTTATTACTTGAGTGAGAGAACAGCGGTCCGATGGTGATCCAATGGCGATCGTCAGCAGCGGTCCAATGGTAACTAGTGGCGGCAGCTCCTTGGCGATTTGATAGTGGCCACCGCCGATCTGGTGGCGTCCAAGTGGAAGCCTGTGGTAGTCCGGTGGCAGTCGGTAGTGGTACGCCCATGACCGCCGCCTATCTAGCGGCAACCGACGATGGTTTGGTTGTTTGGTGGCGGTCGGTAGTGGTTCAGTTGTTTGGTGGCGGGCGGCGATGGTCTGACGGCGGCCCGCTCGGTAGCCCGCTCGGTGGCCCGACGATGGTCTTCGGTGATCTGACGGCAGCCTGTAGGTGGTCCATTGACGATCAATAGTTGTCTGGTGGCGGCCGACAGTGGTCCTATGTGGAATTTTAAATTTTAATAGTATGAGCTAGTGTATGGGAGATAAATTGATAACAATTTTAAGGGAACCGTGTTATGTGGATTTCAAAATACTACTTTCGTTTTCTAAAAACACTTCTTAGGATTATGCTTTTGGAAACATAAACAACTTTCTACCAAACGTGTTTCTGTTTTTTCTCAATTTCTTGCTAGTTTTTCCCATGCATACTCTTATACGGAGTAATAATTTTGGATAATTTATTGTACCCACCCCCTCCCTACCACTTCCCCCTACCACTTCCCTCGACCCTGTCCTAAGCACTAACAAAACCGCCGGCCGCCCCTAAGGCCAAAATCGCTCCCACCGCCAAGAATTCCAATTATGCGCTGGTCCAATATTGCCCCACCACTAACAATTTTAGATGGAGTTTCATGACCGCCGTCGCTGGAGATGTTGTGGCCCGGAGAAGGTGAAGCTTGAGAATAAAGCGGTGAAGCTTGAGTACAATGTTCAAAATAAATGTGCATGAGTGAAACATTTGAAAATGAGCTCAATTTCTAAGTTAGGAACCATGAATTAAAAGTTATTGTTTCTATTAAAATTATTGTATTTCCAATTGTTAGATATACTGATAATTTAGTAATTATATTTATAGACATGAGTTTCAGGTTATACTTATATGACCCTATAGTTGATCAAAGATGAACATTTGGTATTGGTGCTGTGTTCATTTTAAAATGTTACATCAATGCATATTTTCAAAAGTGTAATATTACACTATATTTTCACATTGTAATTCATAATTAAGAGTTAATTATAGATATAACATAATCCGTAAAATATTTTACAAAACGGAAATAAAAACTAAAAATATGAAAGTGGAAGCAGCAATCACGATACTCAACTACATAATTCCAACACTAAAAAAATGAGTCTTGATGTCCAACAAAAATGACTTGTCAGTCAACTAGTTGAAGTTACAATTTTTATATTAATGTACATAGTACATTTTAAAACTACAATACTCCATACTAAATTAGATTCACATATTGGATTAATACGAGTTGATTATAAATATAATTTAATAATTTCATACAAACAAGCCAATAACAAGAAAGTGATTTAGATGACATGTAAGCTGCAATCATGATAGCAGATGTTCAATGAAAATATTTTGAAGTTCAGCCAACAGATGCAGTAGTTGTCATGCCACATTTTTATATTAATCTATATTTCAAGAGCATAATATCAAACTAGATTTATGTTGCGATGTTGGGCCCGGGCCCAAAAGCAGGCCCAAATATCCCTGGAGGCCCGAGATGCATGCATATCTACCGGTTCGGGAAGGCTTTCGACATTTCCCACATGGGCATTACTGCATGACCTCTTCCCATTACTTGTGCCAAACTACTCAGCAACCACCCAAGCGAGAGCCCCCTGTGATACCTCGAAAAATTTAAGCAAAAATAAAATAAAAATAAACCAGATAAAATATATCTGACAGAGTAAACAAAAATAAATATTAAAATATGAAAAGTGACATTTTAATAATTTTAGTTCAAAAGTACGAACTAATAATGAATACAAAAATGTATTAAATACCACACAAATAAGTACTCCGTATATTAAAAAGAAATGACCTTTCAACCATGATATTCATACGGAATACATAATAATATCTATCTAATAATATAGGAGCCAAGTAACATAGAAGAGTAATAATGCATCGGTCCAAAATGATAAGAATGAGTCAACACCAACACCCAATATATATATATATATATATATATATATATATATATATATATATATATATATATATAATACTTCATACGGCTAGTACAGTAATAATAAATAGTGGAGTATACATCTAACACAGTAATACTAAATAGGGGCTGCCATACCGATCCACATGCGTTGGGTTGAAATTGAAGATAAAGCCAAAATACACAAATCATTAGCGCTGCACTAAAACCTTCTTCTATGGGTATAAATAGGGGTACTGGGAAGAGGTTCTCTTCACACCAACTAAAGCTTCATAGTCCAGACCAAGCTATATATATACATACGTATATAGCATACATATATATACATACGTATATAGCATATGATAGTTTATACATAAAAAAAACGTGAGAAAACAATAGGAGAGGGAAGGAAAGATTTTGAGTCTCATTCCCAATTATTTTCACGACCCTTTAAATTCGCCGGAGGAGAAGACCATTCAGTGACTGCCGTTGAACGCCACCATGGCGGCCGAAAGCTAGTTGCAGAGTGCCATACGTTTCTCGGTAGCCGCTGTTGCTGTGCGTTGCTGAGGAGAGGTATCCGTCGACACTGGAAGCTTTGCCGCCGCCGTTCGTCGTAGTCCGTCGTAGTTCATCGTCCAGGTATGGTTAAGGAAGAAGATGAACAGTACCCGCGTTTACTGTTCATCCCATAATAAGTAAATTGTTTATTCTTTGCTTTTGGACTGTTGGGCCATTGAGCCAATAGAAAAAAAAACAATTGGGCCACCTAGAGTAGATAATAACAATAACAATATTAATGGCAATGACTATTATAAAAATAAAGTAACTAAATAATGGGTTGAAATATGGAAAATGGTGTGATTGGACCGAATATGTTAGACTACTCAATTTAAATGAGGCATTAAATTAAAAAGTAGCCAATTAAATTAAATATGGAATTTAGTTGATTATATTAATTGAGTAATTCAATAGAACAAATTGGCTAACTAAATGGACTAATGAGACTTATTGGACACATTAAATAAGTAAATGGATATAAATACCCTACTGGCTATATTCGGACTTAATAAATAGCATTATTGAATTAATGGACTAATTAAACTAGTTTAATGAAATTAATAGTTATTATGCCTGATGATTAGAATTCGGACTTAATATGAATTATTAAACTATTTAGACTTATGAATCTGGTGGATTATTATGTATAACTTAATTAAGTAAAGTGGTATTATTAATTAAATATATTAAAGTAATTGGGTTATTAATTAGACTAGTTTATTTATTAGTGTAATGACAAAACTAGCTAAAATACGGAATTGGTAATATGGTTGGACTTATTAGACAAATTAAAATGAAAGTAGAATTTGATTATGGGCCTTAATTGAATTAAATTAATATACTTAGCTATAAAAATATAATTAACCTAACTTAGTTAATTAAGTTAGCTTAATAAGTTATTCGAATAAATAGATTTATAGGATTTGACATATCAATATTATTGAATTAGTTAATATAACTGGATTAGTTAGTATAAATAAAATATTGAACTAGTTAAAGTGGTTATTGAAATTAGATTATCATTAACAAATACTATTTTTAATTATTGCTTACACAAAATTGTTATTAGAAGGTTTATTAAATAAATTATGTAAATTATGTAAACTAAACTTTGGACTAATATCAGTTAGTTAATTTGAAATAATGGAATTATAATATAATTAAACTAATTAGACAAGTTAACTAGTTAACCAAATAAATTAAAGGAAATGATGAAGGGGATTGGTATAATTAAAGAAAATAATAAGGGTGGACTGAAAATTAACAGTTACTAATATTTATGAATTTAATTCAATAGTTACATTTAAAAAAGGAATTATGAAATTAAAATAATTAAAGGTTGGATATATAAGAAATAACAAGATAATAGAATAGTTATTGATTTAGAATTTTGATCAATAATAGAAGGAGAATTGAAGTGAAGACTAAGCTAGAGGTTTTATTAAGGAGAATATCGCAATTTAAGGTAAGTTCTATGTCAACCAAAATGTTTTGCCTCGTACTTATATGTATGCAATATTTGCACTACGTGAATTATTTATGAATTGGAAATTATATGTTTGACATGGATCGGATATTTTGACTATATGAATATTGGTGGATTATTACCTTTTATGGATGATTAAATGTATATTCTTTTTATTAAAGAATATTGGTGGGTTTATATTTATTACAAAGGATATTTTGAGAAAATGTGACAAGAATGATTTGGGGAAAACTTAAAGTTTTCATAATATATATTCTTACATCTCGAGAGAAACACGAGGCGTGGGTGGTTAGGGCTACTACTACTTTTGGTGAAATTTATTTGGGTCGGTAACCAGTCCGGCAATGACATACTCCGGTAGACATCCCGGGCTTTTATTTGAGGATCAAAAGATCCTTTGGTGGTCGTAGTAGTAGTTACCTAATTTACCCTTGGACAATGTCCCTTGTGAGTAGGTGGTAGAAAACATCCTGCCTACTTGGGTTTCTTACTACTCGGAGGGCTTGGAATCCCTTTTAGAGGGTGTGCACACTTAATATAGAAATTCAGCTTCCAATTGGTGGTCGGTGGGAGCCGGAATTCCGGGATGAGTCGTAGATAACAACGACCCATTGGACTCGAGGAATCTTGAGTTTCGCCCACTCTTAAAAGAATCTAAAGTATTACTTTTGGAGGAATTGAAGGATGATCTTATCTATTGTGGAAATTATTTTATGACATTAAACCATTTTGGAAATATGAGAGACTACTTTTCGATATATATACATATATAAAAACCTATTTTCCAAATTATATTATTTTACGGGTTCGGGTGGAATCTTACTTAGCTCTAAAGCTAATTTTTGTCTCTTTTCTCTTTTTTCTCTTTGCTCTATTGTACAGATGATTATGATTATGAAGATTGATGTACTTGCTGCCCGAGTGTTCCGCTAGTTGCACACGTTTGATTAATTATTGTTGTTTAAATTTGTAATCCATAAACTTGTTTTAAGTTTTATCCGATGCCTACTTGAATTTATGGGTGGATAGCCTGTGCACTCAATCATGTATAGGTTGAGTGTGGCGGTGACACACCTGTTTTTCCATTAAAGACTTCCGCTGTACTCTAAATATGTTTTATAAGAAAGATGTTTTCATGTAAAATGTGATTTTATTTGGGTGGGAAAAATGGGGTGTTACAAGTTGGTATCAGAGACTATGGTTTTCAAATTGGGGATTTTCAAATAAAAATTTTCTTGACTATGGTTTTCAAAAAGAGTTTCCAATATTTTATTATATTTTCTAAATATCTACATTTTAAAAAGAAGAAACTTGGGAATAATAAATGTTTCCAGGAAATATTTTGCAACAAATTTAGGATCGTGGTGAGCTCGTGAGTATTTCTTTTCCTTGCATGTATGTGATAATTGTGCTAATTTTGAGCCCATAATAAAAATGGAAACCCCAAATGTTGAAGGGAATGCCTCATAAGGCAAAAATTCCAAAGTGGCTAAGGTATGTACAAACATTATGTGCGAAAGTGTTCTTATGTGAAGTATGTATTCTCTGAATGATTGTCATGTACAATTTTTATATGATCATGTTGTATATAGCCTATGGAATCCTTAGTTGAACTAGGATCCTTAAGAGTAAAATATAGAAATTCTTACACGAATACTTTGTATCATTAAGAAGCATGGCACCGAGAAGAGACCCTAATAACACACCCACCAATGCTGAGTTGGCACACACCGTTCAACAACTGGCACAATTCATGCACACACTGGGTGCTACTGTGCTCCAGAACAATCAAAACCAGAACAATGGGAATGATGCCGCAAAACGAGTGGCATCTCGCAACCCTCCAAGCTTTCATGGGCAAGAAGATCCTTGTATCCTCGAGAGTTGGCTCCGACTCTTTGACAAGCTCTTCGATGCAGTGAGCTGTCCGGAAGAGCAAAGGGTTGACATTGCTGTTTACTACTTACAGCAAGAGGGGGATAACTGGTGGGTCTCATCAGGCCCAACTCTACGTCAAGAACCCAACTTCAATTGGGAAACTTTCAAGATTGCCATGAGGAAACGTTTTTATCCTGCACACGTTCAGGCCACCATGCGTGATGAATTCATACATTTGAAACAGTTGAACATGAGTGTCCAGGAATATCACAATAAATTCGTGGACCTCGCACCATTTGCGAAAACAATAGTACCTGATGAAAGCACCAAAGTCGAGAAATTTATCTGTGGACTAAACTACGATACACAGAAAATTGTCGCTGTTTTGGGTTGCCAAACTCTGACTGATGCTTATGATAGAGCTGCAGTTCACTATCGAGTTCAGCAACTACAAAGAGAGAGGAACCAGAAGATAAAGAGGGACGAAGATGGAGGTCGAGGAGAAAAGAGGGTCAGAGTGCACCCACCTACACAGCAACAAGAAGGGAGGAGGAGGAGAGATGACCAAGGTGGAAGAAATTTCCACGGTCAAAACCAACAAAATGATCGGAGAGCTGCTCCCAGAGACAGGCACTTCTACTGCAAGAGGTGCGGGAGAGATCACCCCGATGTTAACTGCGATGGAAGCCTAACCAAGTGCTTCAATTGTGGGAAGCTAGGGCACCGAACCTTCGAGTGCCTCTCAAAGACCAATGGGGTACCAGTGAACCAAGTGCAATACCGTGATGGAGGGAGACCAGGTATGAACCAAGTTGGGCCAAATGGCGGGCAAAACAACAACAACAATGCCGCCGCTGCCAACAACAATCGCAACCCTCGAGGAGGAGGGGAGAATAACCGTGGCAATGGCAATGGCGGGAACAATGACAATGGTGGAAACAACGGCAACCGTCCGAACCAAGGGCGAATCATGGTGATGAACCAGGCCCAAGCTAATGCCAACGATGTGGTTTCAGGTACATTCCTTGTAAATTCTGAGCCTGCTTATGTTCTATTTGATTCTGGTGCTTCTCACAGTTTCATATCTTCTAGTTTCGTTAAGAAATTAAAGATTGAACCAACGGCTAGAATAGACTTGAATGTAAGAACCGCCTCAAATAAATTTGTAACTTGTGGAAATGTATACTCCAACATTTCCATACTCATATCTGAATCCAACCTACCTGGAGATTTAATCCAATTTGACTTAAAAGATATAGACATAGTACTGGGCATGGATTGGTTGGGGAAATACAAAGCCAGGATCCTCTGTGATGAACAGAGGGTGATCTTGAAGGGTCCAAATGGGAAGCGAATATCTTACAAAGCAATCACATCCAAGCCTAGTATGAAGCTGATGACTATGCAACAATTAAAGCGACATATCCGAAAGGGGTATGAAACATACTTGTGCTTTATGAAAGAGGTGAATACAGGGGAGCCAAACATTGACCAAATTGCTGTAGTCAATGAATTTCCAGACGTATTTCCGGAAGAGATTCCGGGGATGCCGCCCGAGAGAGAAGTTGAATTCTCAATTGAGTTGATGCCCGGAACTGCACCAATTTCAAAAGCACCTTACCGGATGGCACCAAAGGAAATGCAAGAGCTGAAGGAACAACTGGAGGAGCTGTTAGAGAAAGGGTACATAAGGCCGAGTGTCTCACCTTGGGGTGCTCCGGTCTTATTTGTTAAAAAGAAAGATGGGAGTCTAAGGCTATGCATCGATTACCGAGAGTTGAATCAAACAACTATCAAGAACAAGTATCCATTACCCCGAATTGACGACTTGTTTGATCAATTGAAAGGAGCTAGCACATTCTCTAAAATAAACTTGCGCTCTGGCTATCATCAAGTGAGAATATTCGAAAAAGATGTACCAAAAACAGCATTCCGTACGAGGTATGGACACTACGAGTTCACTGTGATGTCGTTTGGTTTAACCAATGCACCAGCGGTATTCATGGACCTAATGAACCGTGTATTCCGACCTTATCTTGATACATTTGTGGTGGTATTCATCGATGACATTCTCGTATATTCCAAAACCCCAGAGGATCATGAGAAACACTTGAGACTCACGTTGCAAACTTTGAGAGAGAACCAGTTATATGCCAAACTTTCAAAGTGTGACTTCTGGCAGGATCGGGTAGCGTTCTTGGGTCACATCATCACCCAAGAAGGCGTATCCGTGGATCCATCCAAGATTGAAGCGGTGGTTGAATGGCATGCACCTACCTCAGTCACAGAGGTAAGAAGTTTCTTGGGATTAGCCGGTTACTATCGGAGATTTGTTAAAGATTTCTCCAAGATAGCAAGACCACTAACCAACCTGACAAAGAAGACAACCAAGTTCCAATGGAATGAAGATAGTGAAGCAGCATTCCAAGAGTTGAAGAAAAGACTCACAACCGCACCGGTCTTGACACTACCGTCAGGGACGGAGGGATTTGATATCTATAGTGATGCATCTAAGAAGGGGTTGGGATGTGTGCTAATGCAAAATAGGAAAGTGGTGGCTTATGCATCAAGACAACTAAAGGTGCATGAAGTCAACTATCCTACTCATGACCTGGAGTTAGCTGCAGTAGTGTTTGCTTTGAAGATCTGGAGACATTACCTATACGGGGCAAAGTGTAAGATATACACTGACCACAAAAGCTTGAAATACATATTCACTCAAAAAGAGCTTAACATGAGGCAAAGAAGATGGCTTGAACTTATCAATGATTACGATCTAGAAATCCAATACCACGAGGGAAAAGCTAATGTGGTGGCAGATGCTTTGAGCCAGAAATCTGAGCACTCATGCCAAGTAGCGTGGATATTACCGGAAGAACTATTCCGAGACTTCCAAAGATTGAGCTTGGAAGTAAAGAAATATGGTGAAGTAAACAGTGAAATACAGTTGTGTACTATGACTGTTATACCATCTATCTTTGAGGAAATCAAGAATGGACAACCGGGAGATGTAAAGCTCGAAAGAATCAAGGAAGGAATGAAATATGGTGTCAACGGACCATTCCAGAAACATAAAGATGGGAGCATCCGATACAAGGGAAGGTGGTGTGTTCCGCTGAAGTGTGCAACTATTAAAAAACAAATTATGGAAGAGGGACACAACACACCCTACTCAGTACATCCCGGAGGAGACAAACTATACAAAGACCTCAAGAAGAACTTTTGGTGGCCGGGAATGAAGAAAGAAGTAGCTGAATTCGTATCCCGATGTTTGAACTGCCAAAAAGTCAAAGCAGAGAGATGCAAACCCAAGGGACTCGTGCAACCCTTGGAAGTACCAACATGGAAATGGAATTCAATCTCGATGGACTTTGTCGGGGATTTGCCTTTAACAAAGCCCGGGAAAGATAAAATTTGGGTGATAGTGGATAGATTGACCAAAACTGCAAGATTAATTCCTATGAACGAAACTTGGAGCATGGAGAGACTGGCGAAAGCCTATGTCAAACACGTGGTTAAACACCACGGAGTACCTCAAGACATCGTATCGGACCGAGATTCACGATTCTTATCCCAATTTTGGAAAGAATTACAAACGGCTATGGGAACAAAATTGAAGTTAAGTACCGCTTTCCATCCAACCACTGACGGACAGACCGAAAGAACAATCCAATCATTAGAAGACATGTTGAGGGCATGTGTACTTGATTTGCAAGGATCATGGGATGAGCACCTAGACTTGATAGAGTTTTCGTACAATAACAGTTACCATGCTAGCATTAGAATGGCCCCGTACGAAGCTTTATATGGTCAAAAGTGTAGAAGTCCCTTATGTTGGGGTGACATGGTTGATCAGGTGGTTCTAGGACCACAATACTTGCAAGATACCATAGATAAAGTTAAAGTCATCCAAGAGAGGATGAAGGTTGCCCAAGACCGACAGAAGTCATATGCCGATCTTGGGAGGAAACAAGCTGAATTCAAAGTAGGGGAAAAAGTTCTACTCAAAGTCTCTCCTACAAGGGGCGTAATGAGGTTTGGGAAGAAAGGGAAACTAAGCCCGAGGTTCATCGGACCCTACAATATCCTAGAGAAGGTGGGAAAAGTAGCGTATCGATTAGCGCTACCCACGGAGCTAGATAAGGTAACAACTTATTTGAGATCAAATACATCTCTACGATTAGAAATCATTCTTAACATACCAACGTTTGATAGGTACATAACGTCTTTCACATATCACAATTAAAGAAGTACGTTCGAGATGAGTCACATATCATCAACCCGGAGGTAAGAAACCCCAAATTTAACATGAGCCAAAATTAAAGTGAAAATAATATAAGTTAACCCTTATATCATTAGGTGATTGAAGTGGATGAGACGTTATCCTATGAAGAAAAACCTATAGAGATCCTCGATACTAAGACCCGAGAGACAAGGAAGAAGACCATTAAGATGGTAAAAGTACTTTGGTCAAACCATTTGACTGAAAATGCAACATGGGAGACAGAAGAGGATATGCGTAAACAGTATCCTGAACTACTCAACTAAGGTAAATATTGAGTTACGAGGACATAACCTCTCTTTTAGGGGGGTAGATTATAATACCCCCTATAATCTTGTAGCACTTCACTTTCATATTTAATTTTCGTTTTAGTTTATGCTTCGAGGACGAAGCATTCTTTAAGGAGGGTAGAATGTGATACCTCGAAAAATTTAAGCAAAAATAAAATAAAAATAAACCAGATAAAATATATCTGACAGAGTAAACAAAAATAAATATTAAAATATGAAAAGTGACATTTTAATAATTTTAGTTCAAAAGTACGAACTAATAATGAATACAAAAATGTATTAAATACCACACAAATAAGTACTCCGTATATTAAAAAGAAATGACCTTTCAACCATGATATTCATACGGAATACATAATAATATCTATCTAATAATATAGGAGCCAAGTAACATAGAAGAGTAATAATGCATCGGTCCAAAATGATAAGAATGAGTCAACACCAACACCCAAATATATATATATATATATATATATATATATATAATACTTCATACGGCTAGTACAGTAATAATAAATAGTGGAGTATACATCTAACACAGTAATACTAAATAGGGGCTGCCATACCGATCCACATGCGTTGGGTTGAAATTGAAGATAAAGCCAAAATACACAAATCATTAGCGCTGCACTAAAACCTTCTTCTATGGGTATAAATAGGGGTACTGGGAAGAGGTTCTCTTCACACCAACTAAAGCTTCATAGTCCAGACCAAGCTATATATATACATACGTATATAGCATACATATATATACATACGTATATAGCATACATATATAAATATATGTATATGTAGTACATAGCATATGATAGTTTATACATAAAAAAAACGTGAGAAAACAATAGGAGAGGGAAGGAAAGATTTTGAGTCTCATTCCCAATTATTTTCACGACCCTTTAAATTCGCCGGAGGAGAAGACCATTCAGTGACTGCCGTTGAACGCCACCATGGCGGCCGAAAACTAGTTGCAGAGTGCCATACGTTTCTCGGTAGCCGCTGTTGCTGTGCGTTGCTGAGGAGAGGTATCCGTCGACACTGGAAGCTTTGCCGCCGCCGTTCGTCGTAGTCCGTCGTAGTTCATCGTCCAGGTATGGTTAAGGAAGAAGATGAACAGTACCCGCGTTTACTGTTCATCCCATAATAAGTAAATTGTTTATTCTTTGCTTTTGGACTGTTGGGCCATTGAGCCAATAGAAAAAAAAACAATTGGGCCACCTAGAGTAGATAATAACAATAACAATATTAATGGCAATGACTATTATAAAAATAAAGTAACTAAATAATGGGTTGAAATATGGAAAATGGTGTGATTGGACCGAATATGTTAGACTACTCAATTTAAATGAGGCATTAAATTAAAAAGTAGCCAATTAAATTAAATATGGAATTTAGTTGATTATATTAATTGAGTAATTCAATAGAACAAATTGGCTAACTAAATGGACTAATGAGACTTATTGGACACATTAAATAAGTAAATGGATATAAATACCCTACTGGCTATATTCGGACTTAATAAATAGCATTATTGAATTAATGGACTAATTAAACTAGTTTAATGAAATTAATAGTTATTATGCCTGATGATTAGAATTCGGACTTAATATGAATTATTAAACTATTTAGACTTATGAATCTGGTGGATTATTATGTATAACTTAATTAAGTAAAGTGGTATTATTAATTAAATATATTAAAGTAATTGGGTTATTAATTAGACTAGTTTATTTATTAGTGTAATGACAAAACTAGCTAAAATACGGAATTGGTAATATGGTTGGACTTATTAGACAAATTAAAATGAAAGTAGAATTTGATTATGGGCCTTAATTGAATTAAATTAATATACTTAGCTATAAAAATATAATTAACCTAACTTAGTTAATTAAGTTAGCTTAATAAGTTATTCGAATAAATAGAGTTATAGGATTTGACATATCAATATTATTGAATTAGTTAATATAACTGGATTAGTTAGTATAAATAAAATATTGAACTAGTTAAAGTGGTTATTGAAATTAGATTATCATTAACAAATACTATTTTTAATTATTGCTTACACAAAATTGTTATTAGAAGGTTTATTAAATAAATTATGTAAATTATGTAAACTGAACTTTGGACTAATATCAGTTAGTTAATTTGAAATAATGGAATTATAATATAATTAAACTAATTAGACAAGTTAACTAGTTAACCAAATAAATCAAAGGAAATGATGAAGGGGATTGGTATAATTAAAGAAAATAATAAGGGTGGACTGAAAATTAACATTTACTAATATTTATGAATTTAATTCAATAGTTACATTTAAAAAAGGAATTATGAAATTAAAATAATTAAAGGTTGAATATATAAGAAATAACAAGATAATAGAATAGTTATTGATTTAGAATTTTGATCAATAATAGAAGGAGAATTGAAGTGAAGACCAAGCTAGAGGTTTTATTAAGGAGAATATCGCAATTTAAGGTAAGTTCTATGTCAACCAAAATGTTTTGCCTCGTACTTATATGTATGCAATATTTGCACTACGTGAATTATTTATGAATTGGAAATTATATGTTTGACATGGATCGGATATTTTGACTATATGAATATTGGTGGATTATTACCTTTTATGGATGATTAAATGTATATTCTTTTTATTAAAGAATATTGGTGGATTTATATTTATTACAAAGGATATTTTGAGAAAATGTGACAAGAATGATTTGGGGAAAACTTAAAGTTTTCATAATATATATTCTTACATCTCGAGAGAAACACGAGGCGTGGGTGGTTAGGGCTACTACTACTTTTGGTGAAATTTATTTGGGTCGGTAACCAGTCCGGCAATGACATACTCCGGTAGACATCCCGGGCTTTTATTTGAGGATCAAAAGATCCTTTGGTGGTCGTAGTAGTAGTTACCTAATTTACCCTTGGACAATGTCCCTTGTGAGTAGGTGGTAGAAAACATCCTGCCTACTTGGGTTTCTTACTACTCGGAGGGCTTGGAATCCCTTTTAGAGGGTGTGCACACTTAAGGTAGAAATTCAGCTTCCAATTGGTGGTCGGTGGGAGCCGGAATTCCGGGATGAGTCGTAGATAACAACGACCCATTGGACTCGAGGAATCTTGAGTTTCGCCCACTCTTAAAAGAATCTAAAGTATTACTTTTGGAGGAATTGAAGGATGATCTTATCTATTGTGGAAATTATTTTATGACATTAAACCATTTTGGAAATATGAGAGACTACTTTTCGATATATATACATATATAAAAACCTATTTTCCAAATTATATTATTTTACGGGTTCGGGTGGAATCTTACTTAGCTCTAAAGCTAATTTTTGTCTCTTTTCTCTTTTTTCTCTTTGCTCTATTGTACAGATGATTATGATTATGAAGATTGATGTACTTGCTGCCCGAGTGTTCCGCTAGTTGCACACGTTTGATTAATTATTGTTGTTTAAATTTGTAATCCATAAACTTGTTTTAAGTTTTATCCGATGCCTACTTGAATTTATGGGTGGATAGCCTGTGCACTCAATCATGTATAGGTTGAGTGTGGCGGTGACACACCTGTTTTTCCATTAGAGACTTCCGCTGTACTCTAAATATGTTTTATAAGAAAGATGTTTTCATGTAAAGTGTGATTTTATTTGGGTGGGAAAAATGGGGTGTTACACCCCCCCCCCAAACAAATTGGCGTGAACCCCTAGAGTTGGTGGGTGGCATTGGATATGGGATATTTTGTTGTTGGGGCCCAACCACTCAGGGTTGGCCATGTCGCTCCCTCCACCTACTGACCTACTCACTTGTATTATAATTAACATTAGTTATTTCGTTGTAAAGGGATAACAACTTTTTGCTCTTAACATTATAGTTCTCTCACTAGCATCCATCATAGTCTAAAGGGTCGAAGTGTCATTCGACATAAGTGTCATAATCGTTGTATAGACTCTAGTAAAATTGGATCCACATTGTCTCTAAAGATATTGTCTTGCCTTGTTATTTCCTTTCACTTAAGTCCACCAAGCAACCTACTCAACCAAGCAAACCGACGAAGCGCAAGGACTGTATTGGAGCTTTGGACGTTGAAGAATAAACCTCAACAATTTACACATCAAAATTCATACGAGTTGATTATAGATATAATTTGAAAAATTTTATAGGGGGGGATATAAGAATAACATAGTCAATTATAAGATATACGAGGAGAGACCACAATCCTCAACTGCAAGGTTTTAATGCTCACTATAAGAAGATTGATTTTCAATAAAATGCCATAACTACCTTAGTTGGGGCTTGGATTTCAGACCTGAGCATACATCTATCAAATCTTTTGCATTATCAACTCACTAGTTACTATTACACGCGGGCAGGTAGGCTCTATGCCTAGGGTTTAGACGCGGTTTTTCATCCGCAGGTTTGGTGCACCGTTTTCCTTTGAGCAAAGCAGCAAACACATTTGGGTTTGGCCGTTTAGTTTTCTCTGCCGACATCAACAACACGCAAGGGAGTAGCAATGGAAGGCAATAACCAAGAGTAGATAGAGGTCGTGGCTCAAGCTTATGAAAAGATGGAGATGAAGGAACAAGATGAAGACACAGACAACCAATGACTGTATGATCGGTTGAATGTGAAGGCGAAGGGCGAAGTGTTATTGGTTAGTCCCCCTCCTGAACAGCCGCCCGGGGAGGAACGAGCGGTTAGGGGTTGGATGCCCCTTTTAATTATTTTTGTTTGTTTCATTTGCTACTTTTCGTTAAGCACTTCCAGCTCAATTTCTGTTTTGTAATTTTAGTTTTTTAGGTTGGGAGGGAAACAATCAGGCTATTTTGGCCGATAATGACTTTGAATCTCTCGCACGTGCAACCACTAGTCTTGTTCATTGTTGGGCAACCTATTATGTGTCTGATCAGAAAGTGAGGGGGCCTATTGACAATAAGGAATTTACTGGGAAGGTCGGGATAGTTGAAAGGTGAATGTTTGGAGGTTTGTTTGTATGAGTTTAGTATAAGCGGTTGAGTTATCCAATAAAAAAAAACAAACAAAATGTCACAACGATCAACTAGCAAGAGTTGCCATATTTCATTCCTGATTACAAAAATATCTAATTAGATGTTGTTGACGGTACACCCAAGTGTCTTACGATAGTATACACGAACTCAACTATTCTAGCCCACTCTTGGGAGAAGTACCAAATAAGTCCTCAAACTTACATAAAAAGTGCAAATCACCCCTTTTATAGAAGATTCTGTTCGGCTATCGCCATTTGTAGGGGCGGAACTAGGACACTAGGTCGACACAAGAAAAATTTTTACACGACATTTGTTACCTTAAAAATTAAGGTATTTTTAAAATTTGGGATGGGCCAGGGCCCAGGTTGCCCCACCCCTAGCTCCGCCCATGGCCATTTGGGGTGGTTCCCAGTGGATTTTTGTTATGAATTTTTTTTAGAATCATATTCATTAAATCTAGTTAACTCATACCAAACTTCAGTTACAAATTCAATTGGGAAGACAGTCAAATGAATTTTTGAAAATAACTACGCAGTTAAACAGTGGAGTATATTTTAGAAATCATTTGACTGCCTTCCCGGTTGATTTTTTAGCCGAAATTTGATGTGTGTAAACTAGACTTAATGAAGAAGATGATCAAAAAATAAAAAAATTACACCGAAAACCGCCCCAAATGGTGACGACTGGACAAAATGTCATAAAAAGTAAAAAGGAGTGATTTGCATTTTTTTAAAAGTTGACTTATTTGACAGTTATCTCCACTCTTCAATCACTTTGATCAAGGAGCCAATCTTAAACCGTTCAACAACCAAAGCGGTCTCCCAATCCAACGGTCAATGATAAGAACCTACCAACTCATCAATCCGCGCGAATTCGTCAATACACCACCGCGCGAAGACCCGCTTTTTCCATTTTCATTCCGCGCCGTTCCAATTTTTCAATTTCGGCATTAGATTTTCCCTCTTCTTTCCTAGTCTCTTCTCACCCCCTTTTTAACCCCGAAACCCTCCTTCAGCGTACAGCGTACTCTCATTGCCTGTCGATTTCGAAGTATACTACTGCTACTACTAGAGATACTATCTATCTATACCTGTGGAAATGGCCGGCGGCGGAGCATCTGGAAAGTCTTCTAACGCACCCAGAGCGAGGAAGAGGGTGGAGGTCGATTCAAATGAATCTCCTTCTTCTTCAAACCATAGCCTCAAGCGCGCCAAGAATGGCAGTGCCTTTACTCGTTGGTAAGCATATCCGCCACTGCTATCGTCTCATTTCGAATGAATTTCTTGAATCAAACTTGTATTTCTGTCGGTGATGGTTTTACGTTTTTACAACTGTGGGTACGACAACTTCAGATCTACTTCGTGTTAGCCGAGTAAAAGCTCTGGTAGTCAAGGATTTGTGTTGGTTAGATTTGTTTTATTTTGTCGTATTTTTGTCTAATAGAGTATGTAGGAAAACTAATCGATTGGTTGGTGTGTATCACTTAACTTGTTCGCACAATGAAATGAAGATATAATCTACATAAATGGGGAACTTTTATTGAAAAGAAACTTTACGTGTTCTACACTGAAGAAACTTTAAATGAAGATATAATCTATATGATTAGCTTTACTATTATTTCAGGAATCTTAATATTTTGTGCTTTTCTTTATTTTTTGATGGCTTTGGATGTAATAAATATATACCTTGTAAGTGTTCATGGTCGAGTTGTGTTAAGTTATTTGTTCTTTTGCAGTGATGAATGCAACAAGGATGTTCCTGTAGCTTTGATTAGTTTCCACAACTGTAGTCTGGATGCCCAGATCAAGATGAATTTGGGTAAAACTATTCATATTTCATGACTTCTCAATCTATTTATGTTAATCCATGTATCCATCATATGTGCTTTTAAAATGGCTTTATATGCGTTTCTTGAATTACCTTTAATCATGAAGTGAATAAGTTTTTTTCTTCTGTAATGTGGAACCTGCTTCTAATAAAAGTATTTTGATCTGCAGAAGCTCAGGTAATTGAGATGCCTGCTGAGGTCAAGAAAAAGCCAGCTACAAGGTACATTGTCTGTTTGAAATTGCTTGATGGTCAAATACCAAGTTTGATTTGGTCATTATATGTTTCTGTGCTTTAATTTTCACCTTGTTTAACTTGTGTGCAATGCAGGAAAAAAACAAGTTCAACTGAATCAAAGTCCAAAAAGTCCAAGGATCCAAATGCACCAAAGCGCCCTCCCACTGCCTTCTTTGTTTTCATGTATTGTTCTCTCCTTTGCATTGTATCTTTCAAAGCTTATGTGTGCTTTGTTATCTGAATTGTAGCTTTCAAGTAATAATGACTTTAATGAATTTACAGGCAAGATTTTAGAAAGACTTATAAGGAAGAGAATCCTGATAATAAGAAGTCCTCTATGGTACTAGAATGGTTTATGTATTTTACTATTCTGGTGAATCTTGTATGTGTTATCTTGTGTTGGTTTCTGTTTGATGTTAAACTTCTACTGTAAATTTAGGTTGCCAAAGAGGGTGGTGAGAAATGGAACTCATTGACAGATGATGTAAGTTTTCATTGACAAAGTTGTCCTGTCTTTCCCACAAATATGCTCTTTCTTAAAAGTGTTTATTTTGGCAATCCATATATTGTGCAGGAGAAGAAACCATATATTGAAAGAGCTGCTGAGCTCAAAGCAGAATATGAGAAGCTCCTCGAAGCTCACAATGCTGCTGAACATGAAGATGTATGTTGTTTACCTGTTCATTGCTTTTGTAGTTTTTAATCAATGCATACTGCTTCTTTATCAGTTCTGTGCTAAGCTGTCAGCTAACATTTTCACAAGTCTGCGTCATCTATACAGGATGGAGAAGAATCTGATCAGGAGGTAAAGGAGACTGAAGTGGAAGAGATTGAAGAGGAGGAAGACTAGTACACTTGCCATTGCTTTTGTAGTCGCATGTTCTTCTGCATTGTTAAAATTTTATTGTTTTTGGAGTGCTGTAAATGACCTTAGGTCAACTATGCTTAGTAGCCATTCAAGTAATTGTGGTATTTTCCTCTGATCTCCACATTACATCCTAGTTTATTTACTTTTGCTAATGCTCAATTAATATGATGTGCAAGCCAACTTAGTCACAGGTGACTACATGTATATCCACTCTTATGAAGTGATCTGCTTAAGATTGTTGAGTTTACTCTGAGTTGTGATTCATCACAAATAATCATATCCAAAAGAGCAAAGAAACAGTCATTTTATGATGTCTTCTACTCCTATTCTGGAATTTCCTAAGATTATGGAATTTACTCTTAGTTGTGATTCATAACAAATAATCAATACCAAAAATAGTACAGTAACAGTCATTTGGAAGTTAAAATAACAACTCTGTTCGAATTCAAATAATGTGAACAAAAAACATGTTTTGGAAGTAAAAAAAGAACTGCTTTTGAAGGGCCCAAGAAAGTTATCAACAGAATAGGAGGAGAAGGAAATATACTAGTGCATATGTTCATCCTGAGCATATTAAGGCTTAAGTTTAACCCTTAGTCTATTAGTCTTACTCTATTACAACCATAGATAGGTGACAAAAGCAACAAATCTCATTACTGCATTAAAGAATACGTAATTTGTAATAGTACAAGTCTGGCAAAAAACAAACAGCAATTAAATCAAATACATAATTTGATGATAATATTGTCAAGAAAAGAATGGTAGAACAAGAGCAAGTCAACATCATTTTCATCACACAAGTGAAACTCAACATCTTCAATATGACGGATGCGTAAGAGAAAGATGCATGTTTGCTATGTTTATTATAGTTTATGTTTAGAAGTTTATACTAAATTAGAAAACCTTGATCTTGTTATTCATGTTTAGAAAAATGTTAGATAAAAACATAGTAATATTCTAAGTTTTACTGTTTTAGAACTTTCGGTTAAGCTGACTTGCATTTAACTGTAGTATTTCATAATTGAATACTTTGTATTGTGATAATACAATCAACACACTTAGTTGATATGCATTTAATGTGTTTATTCAATTGATCATTTTTTTTGTAAAGTACGAGTAGGGGTGGACTGGGCCGGGCCAAACCGGACCGCTAGTGTGCGGGCCCGGTTGGCCGGTTCCGGGCTTTTAGCCCGTGTGGGCGGGCCGGGCTCGGGCCCTATTTTTGTTGAACCGGCCCGGGCGGTTCGGGCCTGATTCTTTTTTTTTTTTCAATTTTTTCTTTTCCTAGGGTAGGGTTGGGTGTTTTGACTTTTGGGGAGGTTTGGGGGGTGGGGGTGAGGGGGGGGGGGTCAGGGGATAACAAGAAAGCAAAAAAATAAAAATAAACATTGAACCGGGCCCGGCTAGGCCCGGACCCAGTATCAACCCGGGCCGGTTCCGGGCCCATGTAATTGGAAAAAAAGCCCGCCTGAGCCTGGCCCGGCCCGGCCCGGAACCGGCCCGGCCCGGGTCCATCCCTGAGTACGAGGAACATTACTACATACTCCCTCCGATTTTTAATAAACTTCACACTTTCCTTTTTGGGACGGTCTAAAATAAACTTCACACTTCCTTATTTCTTTTTTTGGCAAAGAAATCTACATCAAAACAGTGCCAAACAGTGTCTCAACAGTGCCAAACAGTGTCAAACAGTGTCTCAACAGTGTACTCTTTATTCTTTGTAAATTACCGGGAGTAGACGTTTTTTCGCGTTTTAAATGAACCAACCTTATTTCTAGTTGTAAGCGCTTTTTATTCATTAGACAGTTCGTGTTTAAAATGACTTGAAAACGCATATAATCTCACTAGGATTTACATCATCATAGATTCATAATACAGATCATTTGTCTAGTTTGATAAATAGGAAGATTGCAAACAGAATGTATTCCTATTCTGGATGTGGCTTTTTTAACTGCTTGCTTTCCATTTGACCGTTTTCATAATAAAGATAATTTAGATATTTGAGGTATTTTTATTTATTTTTATTTAATTAAATGAGTAATTTGGAGGTGTGACCAAATTACCGAACGAGGCCCAAGTTAAGAACGCCCCATGCATTTTCAGGCCAAGACCTCTCACGGGCCCGCATGACCAACACTCTGGCCCAAGAAACCCAACCTTCCCATGACATTCTCTTGTCCCAAGGAGAGCCCCACTCCAGTATCAGAGTCAACCCTTTCTCTGCTTCTACCCCACCCTCTTCGAACCTCCCTAGGCTCAAATAAATCTGGCCCAATACCACGTGGGGCTCGCCCACAAATGGGTTCTTCTCGATGCTCTCCTTCAACCTTTGCTCGGCCCAATCCAACCCTTTCTTCGGCCCATCGCACACCGCCTCCCAGTACAGGTCCCTTGCCAGTATCTGGTCTCCGGCGTCGAGAAGTTTAGTGCAGAAATTGAACACCGGCGGGATCACAAGCTCGATATGCTCATCTCTGACCGGTTCTTCCGGTCTACCGGTTTTCCTCCTCCTCTGTTCAACGTAGATTTCTTCTTCTCGGACGATCAGGTTGTATATTGCGCCCATCCGCGATACAGAATTCATCCAGAGTCCGGGTTTCCCGTCGCCTGGCCACAAGCCGGATCTGACGTCGTTACCGGAGAATTCGAGCCGGCCGTTGGAATTATCGAACAGTACGTCCTGAAAACCGAATAGCTGGTCGCTAAAATCCGCCATGGTCATTAGCAGGAAAATCGCGAACACTCTTCTCGAAACGAGGACGGGATCGCCCGATTTGATGTGCTTAGTGAGGATCCCGTCCGCCGGCACCACCGATTGCAGCTTCTTCCTCCATGCCTCGTCGTCGTTGAACTCCCCCTTCTCCTTGGCGTTCTTCAGAGATGCCTCGGAAAGCAGAAGGTGCTCAACGATTTCCGCGTCGGTGTACTGGAACAGGAGATCTTCGTGGATCAGGGGTTGACGAGGGACTACGCAGAAGAGATGGATGAGCCGCTCCGCCTCATCGCCGACGTGGCCTCGGACGGTGTCGCGGCCAGTCGAAGGATCGAAGATCGCGAGGTTGACGTAAGAGTTAGAGTAGGCTGAGTGGAAGAGGCCGCAGAGGCAGACTGAATCTGGAGCCTTCCATAGTTTGAGTATCCGGTAAATGTCCACCAGGTGTTCGAGGAAACTACCGTGTTTATGCCAGCACTCTCCGGCTCCGACGGAGCGCAGAACGGCGACCAGAGAGGGTAGCTTGTCGTCGACTCGCTCGAGCTCACCTCGGAGGAAAGGGCGGGCAGCGCCAAGGACGGCCGCGAGGTACTCGCTCTTCTCAGGTGATGGAGGGAGAGGTGACGTCATGTTCGGTGCGGAGAATATCAAGGTGTCCAGTAGAACAAATCAAATAATTATGCATTCATGGCTTCATTCATTACTCATACAAAGAAAAGATAACAGGTGGCGTAGCTCAATTGGTAACGATAGAGTGTCACGAGGGACTATTACTTTGTTAGGTCCTGAGTTCGAATCCTGGCAACTGTGATGAGAGATTACTATGCTAAAAATGCATAGAGCCTCTGCAAGTATCGGGGACGGAGCCCCACTCTTTATCTGTCAGATTGTAATTATAATCCAATTAATATCCTCCCATCATACCGTCCGGTCAGTGATAGGGGCCTTCAGGGATGGAGTGTCATCCTTTTTTTTAGAAAGAAAAGATAGATACGACAACGTAATCCCATGGTTTGTTGCTTATCCATTTATTTAGAAAAATGTACACCTTTTGTTGTTATTATCCTATACATTTTGTCTAAGGCAATTTGTCTAAAACCTGTAGATTTCTTTTGTAATTTTGAAGCGTTTTTCTTGAATATTACTAATCTGAAGCTAATTTCCAAAAAGTGACCTTTTTTACAAAAGGACAATAATGTGACTAAGAAAGTCACATTTTCGGAAAACACGATGCCACTGTCAGAATTTATGTCACTGTTATATGTCACCACCAGATTTTTTATCACTTTTGAAATGTCACTATCGATTTCATGTCACTTTTAAATGTCACTGTCACCGGAAAACATGTAACTGTGTCGTCGGAAAATTTTCGTCGACTTTTGTCCGTCAAAATCTTCGTCGGAAACCGTAACCTTGGCGTCTCGACACGACCTCCATAGCATGAGACCGTCCCCCCAGCCCCCTCCCTAGCATTGCACCACCAGCCCCCTCCCCTGCATTGCACCCCTCCCCCTCCCTTGCACCCCAACCCCCTCACCAGCTCCCCCAGCCCCAGCCCTCAGCCCCCCCACAGCTTCCAAGCCCCACTACCCATTGCTGACCCCACCGCTCAACCCCCACCACCACCTGACCCTCCCCATCTCTGCCCCAATCCCTCCCAACGCCACCCAGTCCTTGCAAATCGACCTAGCCTCCTGCCCCTATTTGCTATAGCCCCAAAAACCACATCCACACCTCGCCCAGACCCCTAGGCCATCTGCGACACACCCTAGCCCCAACAACCCCCACTCACCACATCCTCCGCACGAACCACTACCAGATCTAAATTCTCTGTCAAAACGGAACCCTAGATCTAGTAATCGCCGATGTACAGGACGAGAGAGATGAAGACGGCGAACAACGATGGTGAAGAGGAGCAACGAGAAAGAAGAATGTAATCCGCGAAGAAGAAATCGTCATCACCGTCGCTTCTTGTGGTCTCTGTCGTCTTCGCCGAGGTGGTCGCCTCATGGTAGACGGTGAAGGAGAGAGTCTGAGAGGAGGAATTGGTCGCGATGAAGGAGAGAGCGCAATTCGCGCGCGAGGAGAAAGACGCTGAACGGGAGTACGGGAAGGGTTGTTAAATCACTTTTTTTTTTCAGCTCAAAATTGGTCATATTTTTGTCTAACCAAACTATATAAGTAGTATTTGTGCCATTGTTTCATTTTAAAATCAAGTATTTATTTGTATCGGAGAATACATAAATTGTCTATAATTTTATACTACCTCCATTCCTTAAAACTTTGCCAAGTTTGACCGGCGCGGGGATTAATAAAGTAAAAACTGTGTGGTTGAGGTTTGTGCAGAGGAGAGAGAATTAACTGGATGAGGCGGAGCGACACACCCTAGATCTAGTAATCGCCGAAGATCTCCTGCGGAGCTGGATGGATGAGGCGGAACTGGATGAGGCCAAAATGGAATGAAACAATTTAGGAAGAATTAAAAAAGCTAGAAAAGTGTAATGTTTTTGGACCAATAGTCCATACGCCAAAATGCGCAAAACCTGTCGGTTTTAAATGGGTTTTTGTGCGTAAACACAACGAGAAAAACGAAATCGTTAGATACAAA